TTGACAGCATACAGGCAACTGAACAGACAAATCTCCAAATGCATGCGGCGAGAATTACGCAACTTTAATACTGCTCGTATTAAGGAAGCGATCGAGCGGAACCAAGGCTCCAAAGTCTTTGCCAGGGATCTGTCTGTCAGAAAGAGCCCACTGTCGAAGCTGAAGACCGAGTGCGGCAGCATCGTTTCCGGGACGCCTGAGATTTTGAGTGAGATTAAGAGGTTCTATGGGCAGCTGTACACATCATCGTTGGAGCCACACTCAAGTGTGAGTAACGATCCAAGAGCAAGTCTTATCCGACACTATTCCGATGATATCCCTGACGTCAGTCTAAGCGAGATTAGAATGGCTCTCCAGCACCTTAAAAACGGCAGGGCCCCAGGCGAGGATGGAATTACAGCGGAGCTTCTGAAAGCGGGTGGAACACCGGTACTTGAAGTCCTTCAGAAGCTCTTCAATTCCGTCCTTCTTGGTGGCACTACTCCAGAGGCGTGGAGCAGAAGTGCGGTGGTCTTGTTTTTTAAGAAAGGCGACAACGCTCTCTTGAAGAACTACAGACCGATTTCCCTTCTGAGCCGCGTCTACGTACGTGCTATTTTCGAGAGTCATTACGAATCGTCTCGCACGCAGACTCGACGACTTCCAGCCTCCCGAACAAGCCGGTTTCCGAAAAGGCTTCAGTACCATAGACCATATACATACCCTGCGGCAGATTGTACAGAAGACCGAAGAGTACAATCTGCCACTTTGCCTGGCGTATGTAGACTATGAGAAAGCCTTTGATTCCGTCGAAATTTGGGCGGTGCTACAGTCCCTTCAGCGGTGCCAAGTTGACTGTCGGTATATCGAAGTGCTGAAGTGTTTGTACAGTAGGGCTACGATGGCTATCCGAGTACAGAACCAGAGTTCGAAACCTACAACTGCAGAGAGGTGTAAAACAGGGTGACGTTATATCCCCGAAACTCTTCACCGCTGCATTGGAAGACGTTTTCAAGCTACTGGACTGGAAAGGATACGGTATTAACATCAATGGCGAGTACATCACTCAACTTCGATCAGTCTGGCAGAATCGCTGGAGGACTTAAGCACTATGCTCAATGACCTCAATGGTGTCTCCCAACGGATAGGTCTTAAGATGAACATGGACAAAACAAAGATTATGTTTAATGTCCATGTCACACCTATGCCGGTATTTGTTGGGAGCACTATGCTCGAGTTGTTGACGAGTACGTTTACCTGGGACAAATAGTCAGACTAGGTAACTCCAACTTCGACCGAGAGGTCAATCGACGGATTCAACTCGGCTGGGCAGCGTTCGGGAAATTACGACATATCTTCTCGTCAGGTATACCTCAATCTCTAAAAACTAGATTGTACTACCAGTGCGTGTTGCCAGTGATGACTTACGGATCTGAGACGTGGTCCTTCACTGCTGGCCGTATGAGGACGCTCAAGGTCGCTCAGCGAGCTATGGAGAGGGCTATGCTCGGAGTTTCTCTGCGTGATAGACTCAGAAATGAGGATATCCGCAGTAAAACCAGAGTGACCGACATAGCCCAACGGATTAGTAAGCTGAAGTGGCAATGGGCCGGCCATATAGCTCGAAGAACCGATAACCGATGGGGAAGAAAGGTTCTCTAGTGGCACCCTCGTACCGGTAGGCGTAGTGTAGGGCGACCCCCACTATCTCTATCACGATGGAGTGATGACCTGGTAAGATATGCAGGAAGTCGATGGATGCAGGTGGCTCAGGACCGTGCTTTGTGGCATTACTTGGGGGAGGCCTATGTTCAGCAGTGGAATTGTGAACGGCTGTAATGATGATGATGATGATGATATCAGGAGAAACTAAATTTTTAATTACAATCGCGATAAATTCCGATTTGAGTGACGCTATCTCAACAATCAAAAACCATTTTCGTGAACTAACATTCCCATTTCAGTGATTTGGAAGCTTATCATTGATATTATCCTCATTACATACGCGTAGAGCGTTATCAAACTGAGATATGCAATGGAAAAAAGCGCTATTTACACCTTATCTGCTTGATTGTGGAATCATACGTTGGAGGGCGTGATTTACGCGTGTTTAATTAGTTAATTCACCTGAGTAATGCACACAATCATTATATAATAATAATGCGTATTTCGGTCAGGGCGTTGCGGGCGGCCGGTCTCAACAGAGACTAGCCGTCGGCGCAGGACAGGATCGTGCAAGAGTGCATGCGCAAGCACAGGTGCACTCTCTATTCCCTCGCTGTTCGATCATAGTTCGATGGGACGTTTCGACACGACCGGACAGAGGTAAAAAGCAGGACCAACTTGTTTTTACGTGGAAGAGTCCTGCTGCAGCTATGTTATGGTTGTACCACTAATGGGTCGGCTCGAACGGGGAAGGACCATGTTCTCACAAAATACGAGCGTGAAATAGCAGCTTAATACTGCTGTGTTTCGTATGGTGAGTGTAGTGATTCGTAGACCCTTTGTTACTGGAAATGAGGCATTCCATCTTAGTCCTCAGAGGTGATAACGCATCTGCGTTTCATTCTTAATCGAGGATAAATGTAGATGTCGGTATTGGCCACAACATCCACTTACCATAAGGTGGACTGTGTGCTCGTATGTCACCCTAATTCTATAAAAAAGACATTCATAACTAGTCAACCCATATCCTTTTATTAGTTGATTGTGAAAGTGAAACAGGAGATGTGTAGCGGCATCTTCTTACCAACAACTTAACTGCAGTTGCTAACCCGCTTGCCAAAATATCCCCGTTTGGCAATCTGTGATTGAGGCCTGTGTTCAGCAGTGGACTTAATATAGGCTGCAATCGATGAATGGATATTTACATAAGAAGAGAGGCGAAATTCGTATATGGGAACTAATGTCCAACATCAAAACTACGTACATAAATAAATACTAATGATTTTCATACATGCATCCAATTCCTTTAAACTAAATATATATATATATATATATATTTTTTTTTTTTTTTAATCGTAATCTCGGAAACGGCTCCAACGATTTTCATAAAATTTGGTGTCCAGGGGGTTTCGGGGGCAATACATCGATCTAGCTAGGATTCATTTTTAGAAAATGTTATTTTTTCCGTATTTTCAGGCTATGGAAATCGTGTACTAATGATCGTAATAGCTCAAGTGGGATATCGGGTGGTCGCGAAATCGTAGTGCCCTGGTTCGCGTCCTGTCTTCGGTCCGTCTTTTTTCCTTTTTTTTCAAGTTCCCTTCTTTTGTGAGAAAATCTGTTATAGCGAGCCCTTTTTTAGTATTTTTTAAAAATACGAAAATTTAAATTAAACTAATTGCACTCATGATTTTTTATTCAAATTACCCTCCAGTTTTTTCTATTATGTCAATAAGATTAAAAATTATTATTCATGTTTCATCAGTATGTAATTTGTATCTAAATATAATTTCCAAAAAAACAAAATACTCAGGAAAGCTCGGTCATCCAGGTACTTTTATAAACATGTTAAGTTATTAATACTTTTTGAACAAAATCTTTGAATTAACGATTACCACCAATGTCTCCATACATTTTGTAAATATTGTACCTTTTTTACTTTATTGCGGGCTATGCTTTTCTATAAATTGAGAGGTCCAATGACCACACACTTTGGAATGGCCGGTGGCCATTTAAAAAAAATGCTTAGTCAACTTGATTTGGATAATTGGCACTGTTTTAAGTCAATTGAAATAATTTTAGTTGTTAAAATAAACATTTGCAATAAAGTGTAATGATTTAAATGACGTCTGTATTTTCACGTATTTTTTATATTTTCAAACATTTTAAAAATATACATCGATATATTAATGGTGTCAACTACCCAAAATTGCCTATGCTGTATTTTCTTTGCTGTTGTTAATTAATTATAAAAGCTTCACTTTTAATAATAATATATAGAATTATTAAAAGTGGAGTTATTTAGTGGCTTAGAGGATCCTTATTTTCTTTTTCATAAAGCACCATTTCATCGGTATCTTTATTCTTCTTGTACATAATTTTAAATGATCTTTCTTACTAGTAAACGCGATGAGACTGGTTAAAATAAAGTGTGTTTTATAGCTTTCTATCTTGAGTTTGAATTAAAGTACAGTTAGAAGCAGAACGTCGTTTGGCAACCAAAACCACAACGTAATATATTACCAAGAATACTTTATACAAATCATATTCAAGAGGCGAGAACCGGCGACCGGTTTTACTTATAACGAGGAGCTTCGAGATTTCAGCGAGATAAGGGTTTCAGAGAGCCGAGCCGATGAGAATGCCATTAGTACCACCCGTATTTCGTAGACACAAAGGTTTTTCTGACCGGCTAAAGCCGATTCCGCGTCGATAAATGTGGGGACTCCCTTACTCTCAATTTTAAGTGCTAGTGCCGCAGCATACATTTACGTGGTAGAGCCATACTACACCTATATTAGAAGTATAGTTGTAGCAGGAATGGGTCGGCTCGACCGCGGAAGGACCACACTCTCACAGAATACCAGCGTGTTTCGTATGGTGAGTGTAGAGAACCGGAGACCCTTTTACTGGAAACGAGGCATTCCATTTTAGTCCTCACGGGTGACAACGCATCTGCATTTTGATTCGTAATCGAGGATAGATGTAGATGTCTATGGGTCACAGCAACCACTTACCATCAGGTGGACTTTGTGCTCGTTTGTCACCTTATCCTATAAAAAAAAACCATCAGATGGGTGCTGCAGTACATCTTATGGTAAATTTAGTCGCGTCGTCCTCTTTTATCACCCTTAATTGTATAAAATCTACATGTGTGACATAATTCAGTTTTCTCTGCTTTGTTATATTTAGATATGCAATATGTATGTATTTCATATAAAAGCGGTTTTGTATGCCGAGCGACAATAAGTGCAAAGATACACATTTTATGCAAATGTTTATATAATGCAATCGATATGCATAAATGCAAATTCTCGCACTCATACAACCAGTCTCAACGCTAATCGCAATCGCTAATGGTAGTTTCTAATATAATTCTCGGATTTAGTTTCGTCGCCGGCGTAATCCTTCGAGAGCGGATCCCAGCTTTCGAACGCATGCTGTGGCGAGCCTGCAGAGGCAACGTGTTCCTCAGGCAGGCTGAGATCGACACCCCGCTGGAAGACCCGACTTCCGTGAGTATTTTTTGATCTTTCTTAATGTGCTCATGGCGAATTAATTTAATAAAACGGAATGTTTTCTTGTTAATTATTATTAATTAGCATAAGAGTACTTTTATTTCGAATCGTCGTAGACAATACATATAGTGCATTTCTTTAAAAAAATATACTTGAATACTTTTGTAGAGTACCGAGTACCGAGAAATGAATGATTGACATCTGTCAATCATTCATTTCTCGTGACTCGTCATATATTTCGTCACGCATAGCGGTACATTCGGATCGATCGTTCAAATGGATCATTTCGGGCTCCAGTACCCTCTTCGATCAATTATATATTATTGATCGAAGAGTACCCTACACTAAAAGAAATTCATTCAGATCATGCGGGATTCAGTCGGTTTTCGACTCATTCACAATTCACACCAATCACGAGTTGAAAAGGTTCCGTCAATTATTTGTGATGGGTTGTAGGTACCTGAACATTCAAAAACAGATGAATGAACAATCAATACTTTTAAGTGTACCAGCTCAAACGAACGAATCATTCATGATTGACACATGTGTACTTTGTGATTTCCTGAAATCGAAGCGGAACCTTCGACATTACATATTCAAAATATCTGCCTTAATATTTCATATTGTAAAAGAACGCTTGTCTGTTCTCAAACGTAGCAGTCTCATTTCGTTCGGCTATGTAAACAGGTCTGGTTAGCAACGTGAGACGCACGCGTAAACATCGTGCGACGGAATCGAACTGCGATCAATAGAGCAACATGTCCGCATCACTGACAAACATCCGCGCATTGTTAGGTTTAATTGTTTAACTTAGGGCTGAAGCTGAAATGTGGACACACCTAGGCTTAAGCAGTGGCTCACAGGATTTATAGAAATGTAAAACGTTCTTGGAACTGCTGTGGGGTTTGGCGCCTGCTTAGATTTCTACTGTTTTATCAGGACAATAAAATATTGGCTTATTTATTGAAAATAATAAACGGACATGTCGTGACGTCATCACAGATCTATTCAGAAGTTAAAATGGACATATTAGAAAATAGTTGATCTGCTTAGAGTATAAATAAGTTTGACCGTTAAGGGAAAAGAGGAGATTTTCCGCCGGGCAAGATATTCAACCCGAGGAGCGGCCAATGCTCCTAGTGGTAGTTTAGAACTTTTCTATTTATACTGCTTTACTTCGGAACTTTGATAGCGCGATTTAAACTTCGATGTGTTTCGCTTGTGGCGCGAGGCGACATCGCTGCCACATAAGCAAGCTATGCTTATAAATACTCCAAGCTGGTCTATTTTTATTTGTATCTACTTGGTGGTATTACTACTTTTTTCTACCTAAGAGTTAGTATGTGATGGTAGACTAATAATTATTCAGTCTGCTATTGGGAAATATCTCAATCCTGGGAAAATCTGTCAAGAATCCCAGCGGAACTTTTTGTAAATAGTTTACAATTACGTATTATGTTGTACAATTAATAATACAAAATAGTTTAGAACGAGCTCGATAGCGTTCGCCTTATTCCCAGGGGTGATAATAATCATCCATGCAGTCCCCTTACGTCTAGGGTTGCCACTTTTTTTTTAAAACAAATATATTATTTTTCCCATAAAAGACCAAAAAATATAGTAGGTACTATTGAGAAATTCAGGAGAGAAAAAAAGTACACATTTAATTTTAGTCTATGTATTTTTCCACATATATTTTTACTAGCTGTTACCCGCGGCTTCGCCCGCATGGTCACTGGGAAAGGAACTATCCATTGCTTTTTGAATTGAAAGAAAACTGAGTTTTATAGATTTGTCAGAGATGCAGCCATTAAAAGGAAACTGAGCAAAATTGATTCGTCAGCCTATTTAAATGTTTTGAAACGCAGCGTATATATAGCTATTATTCCTATAGGAAAGCATGAAAATAGCCTGTTTATTACAAATGGAAATGGGATATTTTTTAATTAAAGGAAACTGAGCATAATTATCCGTCAGGGATGCAGACTTTTGAAAAGAAACTGAGCTAAATTGATTCGTCAAAGATGCAGTTTTCTGAATTGAAAGGAAACTGAGCCAAATAAAAGATCCGTCAGAGATGCAGCCTTTTAAGTTGAAAGGAAACTGAGCTTAATAGTTCCGTCAGAGGTGCGGCATTTGGAATTGAAAAGAAACTGAGCTAAATAGGAAATTTTGAATTGAAAGGGAAGATCTGTGGGAATTCTGATTAATTGATTGCGGGAATTTTGGAAAAAAAAAAACTAACTGAACACTATTTTAAAACGCTACTGTACACAATGTTATATGTTTTTACATTCGGGGAAAGAATGTGGAGATTCTGGGCATTTGACACACGCGAACATGCTACATACAGCTGACCATGAGAGAAGCACGGTTTTTCTAAGTTGACCCCGCTACCTGTAACGTTTGCCCTTGCGCTTTATTAATTGTCATTGCAAAACTGAGCTTAATATGGAACTGCAACCTTTTGAATTGAAAAGGAAGATCTGTGGGAATTATAGGGATCCATGGTATTTTCACCTTTTCCTACGCCTCCCAAAATTGTAGCACCGATTATGTTCCGTCCAAGATGTGTCACACGCAGCCTTGTCCCGTTACATAACCGAGGAGCATCTAAATTTCGCATTAGAATGACTAGGACGCCTAATTTTAATTGAAGCTTATGTGAGGGCACACCTGACAACTCTAGAGAATTTAAAAACTTTACGGGATATGAAGTGTTCTGTTCTGTGTCCATAACTGTGTCTACTGACAAATAACAGAGTATTTATTTATTAAATACTCTGTTATTTCTCCTGCTACTTCGCTTAATATATCTGAATTTATTTTGTTAACGCTCTCATTTTTTGGTGCAAGAATTGCCCTTTCACGTAACCATTTGTCTTCATGTATGTTGTTCGTTAAATCTGAATAAACGCTCGCAGTTAATTCGGAATGACTCTGTACTAAATTACAAAAATCTCTCGTCAATTTAACGCAGCCCTCAGCATCCGTTTCCAACCGCCCATCGCCAATTTTTAATAGTGTGTCAGCATAGTTTCCAGTATTGATATCATTATACAAATGCACTCTCATATTCGTAGTTAAACTGAATTTTGTCACCTTGTTCCATAAAATAGACGACTTGAGGCATGCTTTAATTTCATCTGCAGGTGTACCCTTTTGAATGACAGGTAAAGTTTGGCGAAAGTCACCAGCCAGTAAAACCATCATTCCTCCCATTACATCGGTATTGCTGCGCAAATCCTGGAGCGTTCGATTTAGTGCTTCTACAGCTTTTTTATGCGACATTGTACTTTCGTCCCACACTAAAAGTTTGCATTGTCGTAGCATTATACCTCGTGCACTATTTTTGCTAAAGTTGCAGATCGGCGATTCTTCCTGGGTTAGATTTAGAGGGAGTTTTAAAACGGAATGTGCAGTGCGGCCCCCGCTTAGCAGCGTGGCGGAGGGCTTATCATTCCAAAGTCGCTTAATTTTTTGCCTACCATTGCCATTACTTTATCTTCAATTTTTCCAAGTGCTTCATTATAAATGTGTTCATTGTATGTCATGTTCGCGTGTGTCTGCTGTAACCTGTAACCTTCGCAAAATATCTTCCGCCATGTACTCTTTATATTTGTCCCACAATTCATGTGCATTAGATAGCCCGCAAGATGATATGAGAGTTGCATAAAGATCCCCAATTTTGGCTGGTGACTGGCACTGCACAGCTTCCTCCATGGTTTCATCCCACAGATTATCGTTTTCTAAAAGATGCAGAGCTTCACATGCTTCTCTATAAGTTGCGCATTCCTGACCGTTGACAGTATTAAGGTATTTATATCCCCCGTATAGGACCCCGAACATGGTGCAGCAGCAATCGTAGACAGAAACATTCAAAATTAGTTACATGGACGGGGTATACACACGACCAAGGGCATGTGATGACTTTACACCGGGCCATTTGCAACAGGCGCGCCTTGAATACGGCGTTTCCACTCCTTCCTAGATGTGTTCCAAGTATAATAGCGGGGGACTTCAAAATATAGGTAACAGCGTTTTTGCAAAGGGGTCGGTTTGACAAAGTTGAAAGAAGGCTGTTAATGTAGTTTTTGGCGGTGATGCAATTCTTTCTTGGAAATTTCTTTCGGTGAAATATACACGCTCTCCATTTTATAAGTGCACAGCAAGGCGAGTAACTATTGGGTGCCTTTCGTGTAAAGGGAAGCCAAGGAGACGCCACGCTGCCTCGTTACTGCTGACATAACGCCCTGCTTGAAAGGTCTGTACTTCATTAACGGGATTTGCCTCACCTTCACTCCTGAGATTAAATATTGCTTGGTCGCTTCCTTTATTTATGTACTTACAGATATACTTGATTGCGCGGACAGAGCTACATGCCTCTACATTAATGTGAGCATTAAACATTTTACATAGAATGGGCGAATACGGGACAATCCAGCTGTTATCTAAGGTTTCGAACGCTCCAGAGCGAGATTTGATTGTAACTTTTCTGCCACCGTCTTCGGGAGCTCTGCGTCAGTATAAAGGGTAACCATTGTCATTGTGCACTGTTTCTTTTAATAGCTGTTTAGGGAATTTCTTTGTACATTTTCCTTCTTTCATACATGGCGATATTGAATTTCGTGCTCCACATGGACCGTGAATCATATTTCGGACGATGGTATCATACAATTCTTTATCTTGCTCAGGATCCGGAATTTCGGCGCTTATTATGTCGTCTATTTGGCTGGGCCGCAACTTCTCTTTAAGCCATATTAGAATGTGGGCATGCGGTAATCCTCTTTTTTGCCATTCAATTGAATACATGAAGCACTGCACCTCTCCGAAAAATTTCCCTTTGTTAATTACATACATAATTTTTTTTACTTTTAATCTAACAACTAAATCGTGTCTGTCAGTACTTTTTTGGCCCGGCATTAGCTCCTCGGTTATTTCTTTCCATGTGGTATCGCAAGTAAAAGTAACAAAAAGATCAGGTCTTCCGTAAGTTCGTACATAGGCGAATGCGTCTTGTGTGTACTCATGTGGGTAGCGGGGACTGTTAACGAATGATGAGGGCAGAATTACCATTTTACCTAAATCTCTGGGGTTTACATTGGCGTCGCTAGAAACTGCATCTTGTAAATGTATATAATTCTCAACGCGCAGCTTTTTTTGATTTAAAGATATATACCAAAAATTGATGAATTAAGAAGAGGTTAAAATCATTTTCTCGCAACATCATATGATACGCATAAAAATCCATACATGATACTATTTTGTTCGGAGTAGGCTCCTTTGTGACCGGGTTAATGAGTGGAATTTGAAAATGATAACCCTCTTGTCCTTTGCAATAAATCAATGGGTATTGCAGAGCGTCATAAAACTTTTGTGTATCGGCTACTCGTTGCAACGTATCATCACGTGCTCGCAAGACTGTCTCGTGAAGAAAATTGATCACCACTAATTACGGCTTCTATTTCGTTTCAAATCAAAGGTGCATTGTAGCGCTTTTCATGCTCTCCTCGAGGGGTCCGATCTGCGTGAATGACGACTTTATAATCCTCTTCAGGTAGGTTTTCTAAAGCAGTTTTAAATGTTTCGACTAAAATGTTACGTTCATGCAAGAATCTTTGAATTTTGAACACTGTGTCTCTCTCAACTCCCTGGATAAATTGGCAGCGACAGTCTACCTCAATTTTTTCTTCACCCATAAAATATACTTGTAAAAATTTATGCTGTTCGTTTTCAGCTGGAAAAAGTGAACCTATTCTATGATAAATTTGCTCTTGCACCGTAAATGTAGGCGAAAATCCCGGCATTATTATTTCCCGGTCAACTCCGAAGGACGTCATTTGAAAGCGTGAGTTATATTTCCGGATCCTGTTTAAAAAGCGCCGTCACTCATTAGCATCATATAAAAAGAGAGTTTTCAAAGGTTCTTCTGGTTCCCCAAGTAACGGAAGAGACACTTTGCCATTGGAACAGCACATGCCTGCGGTCTCATCTTTCCATTTTAAAGCGCTGCAAAATCGACACGCCTTGTCCATCAGTCCGATAACAATTAACCTGTGATTTTTATAATCAATCAACGGATCATAATTGAATGCTGCGTCATTAAAAACCGACCAAATGTTTCTTTGAAAATTTTGTCGACGTTCAGCTTGGAGCTGTGCATTTGCGTCTCTTCGCGCCTGTGTCTTTTCTGGTGTTTCAGATGCCCTTATAGTAGATTGACGTTCAGCTTGCTCAATGAGTCTGTGTTGAGTTACATCAGGTGTTTCCGCGGCTCTTAAGGCGTCCTGACGTTCCGCTTGTTCGAATAGCCTTTGCTGACTTTGAGCAGGTGTTTCAGTAGCTCTTAAAGTAGATTGATGCTCTGCCTGTTCAAGACGCCTTTGCTGACTTTGATCAGGTGTTTCAGTAGCTCTTAAAGTAGCTTGACGCTCTGCCTGTTCAAGACGCCTTTGCTGACTTTGAGCAGGTGTTTCAGTAGCTCTTAAAGTAGCTTGACGCTCTGCCTGTTCAAGACGCCTTTGCTGACTTTGATCAGGTGTTTCAGTAGCTCTTAAAGTAGCTTGACGCTCTGCCTGTTCAAGACACCTTTGCTGACTTTGATTGGGTGTTTCAGTAGCTCTTAAAGTAGCTTGATGCTCTGCCTGTTCAAGACGCCTTCGCTGACTTTGAGAAGGTGTTTCAGAAGCTCTTAAAGTAGCTTGACGCTCTGCCTGTTCAAGACGCCTTTCCTGACTTTGAGAAGGTGTTTCGGAAGCTCTTAAAGCAGCCTGACGCTCTGTTCAAGACGCCTTTGCTGACGTTGAGAAGGTATCTCAGATGCTCTAAAAGCAACCTGACGCTCTGCTTGTTCTTGCCTTCTCAGTTCAGCATCTTCTAAAGATTCTAGCGATCGAGCTAATATTTTCGCTTGTCTTTGAGAAGATACTCTTGAAAGGCTGGACTTACGTTTGCGAGGCATTATGAAGTAAGTAACAAAAAACCTATTTATAAAAAAAAACGTTAAAATACCTAAAAGGAATTAAATTTCCTTTCAAATATTTTTTTAAAAGCAAATCCAAAATATCTAAAAGGAATAAATATTCCTTTTAAATATTTTTTAGAATCAAAACAACAAAACCAATTCAAGACACAACACGAATGCGAAAACGATAGCCAAAAAACTCGAATCAACTTAAACCAAATCACAAAACAAATAGCAGAAAACCGAAATCGAAAGCAGTAGTCAATATAAATATAACCAACGAAAAAAGAAGTAAGTGTATAGGTACCGGATACACTATCTATACTATTAATATTCCTTTGAAATATTGTTAAACAACCTAAAACAACGAAAGCCAATTCACGATTCTAAATAAACAAAATCCAAAATCAAAGCCAGAGTCTAAATATGTATAAAGGAATACCAACCAAATCAACAAAACCGATCCAAGAAAATACACAAATCCGAAAATGAAAGCTAATATAAATCCATTCAACCTTAACCAAATCACAAAGCAAATAACAAACAACCGAAATCGAAAGCAGGTAGTCGAATAAGCTACGAAATAGAAACAATTTAAGCGTATAGGTACCGTATGCACTATAAGTTTACACGCGGCTCAACGGCGGGAGTTAAGTACATGTCAGGAAACATTTCGTTACCGCGTTTTAAAAACCTAGTAACGATATCTAGCAGAATCAATTTAAACTATGTATACGTTAGTTAATAAGAACTCTTAAAAAATATTTTGCTTATAATTTTGCACAATTTTTCTTATTGTAATACCGATTCATTCATAACCACATATAAGAATTGTATTCATTTCCGTTCAATAAATATTACTAAGGCTTATTAATAAGGCTTACTAAGAACTGTTTCTACCACAGTTAAGTAATAGTTAAGGGTGAAAGCGTGACAGGTGGTGATAGTATTTCTGGTCCATACTTATAATCACGAATGTAACCCTTGCGGGGTAGGCAGAGCATCAACGGATTACTTAATATCGTCTGCGAGGTTATCGCCTATTCTGTAAATTACAATGTACCAAAACGTTTGAAGAAAATGAGCTGGTGAATTTTATGTTTTTTATCGCTCTCTTTCCGGTCCTGCGTGTAAAAATACAGATCCATACATTTGTTATCTTAATTTAGTAAAAAGACATAATAATCCAGACATTCTGACCTTCTGTGTTCGTCCATCGTACCGTCGTCCGTCTTGTAGAATCACGGTGGCGCCACCTAGTTGAATTTAATTTTGCAACATATTCGATTTTCGTGAAAGAAGGACAAACTTTTGCAACATATTCTATTTTCCCACGGGAATGAGGCTGTAGAGTGACATAGGCTACTTTTTTCCGCGGAAAAACATCTCATTCCCGTTCCCGTGGGAAATATTCTATTTTCCAACCACATAAATATTCTATTTTACAGCCACCGAACTATCCCCATACCATAATTCACACCATGCCGACGCTCTATTGCGACGTGAAAGAAAGACAAATTTTTGCAACATATTCTATTTTCCCACGGGAATGAGATGTTTTTCCGCGGAAAAAGTAACCTATGTCACTCTACAGCCACCGAACTATCCCCATACAAAAAATCATGTCATGCCGACGCTCTGTTGCGACGTGAAAGAAGGACAAACAAACAACACTTTCGTATTTATAATATTAGTATGGATTGCTTTTTGGCCTTCAATGATCTAATATACCTTAAAAATAATTATATGAGTCTGAGCAATTTAGATTCATATTAAAATAAATTAACAATTAATTTTTAATTAAATTACGTAATACACGCTCTGTTTTTTTCTTCTTTCAGTTTTACATTCAACAGAAAAAAAATATTTCCGTAAAACTTACTTGTATCAGACTTCAGAATCACAGTTAATATAAATAAGTGCGACTATTGAATTAGGGATAACATTTATTTTTAAATAATATGTAGTACAATTGACTTATAGTATATAGTACGATACTATGTATTATAGTACGGGTGGCAACCCTAACCCACTACCCCAAATCGTTCCGTTGGTGTCGTAAGAAGTGACAGAGGGAAACTAGAACTGGAATGAGTAGCAGCATTTTCTTGATAGCAACTCGAAATAATAAAAACTGCGTTTGCCAACCCGTCTACCAAGCGTGTCCGCAGGTCCTCAGGGGTAAGAACGCATCTGCGGCTCAAAGTTTGAAGTTGGCTGCTGTAGCTTATTACCACCGAGCTAATTACTAGCTCCTTATTTTCTTACGGCTTTATTTCCCTTTTGCAGTCGGACCAAGTGTACAAGTCGGTGTTCATAATCTTCTTCCAAGGAGACCAGCTCAAGACGCGCGTCAAGAAGATATGCGAGGGCTTCCGTGCTACTCTCTATCCCTGCCCCGAGGCGCCCGCCGACAGGAGGGAGATGGCTATGGGCGTGATGACCAGAATCGAGGACTTGAATACGGTATTTATTTAATTTATTATCATAATAGGTGAACCATTTTTTTCATGTGACCTCCATTTTTTTAATCTGTTGTTTTCAGTAAAGAATATAATTATATGTATAAATTATAGTTGTTATAATTTTAGATATGTATTTAAAAAATTTGTGATAGCCCGTATTTCAAGCTTTTTTATTCTACTCGTAGAATAATTATTTACTGTTTATCAATTGAAATTTTTAATTCTAATAAATATAAAAAAGACATTATCTACCAGCCTAACTTTAAGTTGAATAGAGAACGCGTAAAACGTAGAAAGTGAAGAAGTGATAAGTGGTAATGAAGCCATAGATCGGTTTAAAGATCTTTATTTACTCATTAAAACTAATGTCACTTACATGAGTACATTCATACAATTTAAAATAAATCACACAGAACAATATAATAAAATAGTCGAAATTAGGGTAGATCAAAATTAGATATATAGAAGTTGCAAGTTAACTGCGTAAGAGCGATGTTTCAAGTTTTGATAATATAAGACGGTGGTCCAAGTTATATAATGTCTTGTTTTTTAATGTGATCTAATAATTTTTTCTTGAAAATATTGAGCAAACTTGCATCTTTTATAGTTGAAGGGAGTTTAGTATAGATAGCAAAAAGAACTGTATTAGTGTAACAAAATACGTTTCACTCTTGCCTTGAAAACTTAGGTTGTAATTGGGCGGAAAAACAGCTGCCGGCAGGTTTATTCCATTCCTTTGTTGTACGCATTATAAAATACTTAGCAAAGGCAAAGAGGTGTAGACCCGCCAACCGCCTGGTTATCCGTGGAAAGGGAGGGAGGAATTAGGAATTAAGACATGTGATTCCTGCGCATACTTTCCAAAGTGCATCCTATAGAATACGATGCTGACTACTCTACGCCCGTACTCAATGTTGACAAGATTGATTTCAACCAATTCAAAGTTACCAAACTTTTAGTTCGTCTATCCATTGAGTCCAACGCTGCTATGTGGCATTTATTGGTTTATTAAAAAATAAATAATAGGTAAAAATATGAAATATTATACAGTTTAATTATTTCAGAGCCGTGGTAGCTCAGATGGTTAGCGCTCGCTGTAAATTTCACAGTACGCGAGCAACCCGCGTTTCGATCCCCGCCGGCACCAATGAAATTGTTAATTGCAATTTTAAGTGCTGATTTACCACGTGCTCGGCGGTGAAGGGAAACATTGTGAGGAAACCTGCATGTCTGAGAAATAAGAAAAAAAAATTCGAAGACGTGAAGTTTGCCAACATGCTTCCTTTCCTTAAGACCCTTTCAGAAGGGAGAGGAGGCCTGTGCTCAGCAGTGGGACGTATATAGGCCCTAACTTGTAACTTATAATTATTTCAGATACAGCACAAAAGATGATTAAAATACCACTAAAAATGAAACTATATTTTAGTACATTATTTGGTTGGATAATTAAGAAAATCGATTTTAATATAAGGACGTGAAGTCTATTTTATTTTAATCAGTTCTAATTTGTAATGCATTAAGGAAAACCAAACATAATGTGTACTTTACGTCTTTGATGTAAGTTCTAGATTTCATTGAAACAATTCTTGTATTGCAACCGGTCAATCATTGCAACAATGGTGTGTTAGATAACAATTATACTGATTTTTAATGTAATTTATTCGACTACAGCAATATATTATCACACTAACCTCGAAGTATTGTCAGGTGGTCGTGACAATGACGCGGTAAATCTCCGGCGGGTAATAACTCAGTATTGAATACTCCCATGTCATTGTCGTTTAGGGCAATTTACCGTACTGACACGGCGAATCTATTTGCCTGTATTGTTGTGGCTTCAGTACGTTTTTCACTGTCTACGTAATTAGCAACGCTCGCATAAGATCACTTGTTCCCGTATTTGTCACAATGGAAAGGAGACGTTTGTGGGAATTGATGGCGGTTCTTTGAGTCGCCCGTTCTTGGTAGCGCTGGAAACATTACATGGTCAAAGTGATTCGGAGGTTGGTCTGTAATTGTTTCGTAGGACAAGAATACATTTCCAATATTAATTTTGTCTGTGATGTCGACCAAATTAAAAAGGAACGTTTTTGAATCGGGTCTTCATAATTGATACGTATCTTTGTCAGATTGCGTAAGTCCACTGGTGAACTTGACCTTACCCTTTATCGTCACGCTTGGCAGGCGAATTGCTGTTCGCAGTACCAGATGACTCACATCTTTGACGCTGCTCTCTACCCGTTGGTCTTTGTTTTTTACGCCTGGCATGTATATGAGATGGTTATACTACCATCTATCGGGAACTATTAGATGTTTTTTGACATCTCCCATAGTCGCCTCTTACGTCACCCACGGGACAAAATGGAGTTGTGGCGAATTGGCCGTGGTAGGGAGGCGAGTAATCAGCTCAGGGAGCGGCTAACGTTCCGTATGTTTGTACAGAGCTAGTCTATATATACCGCAGTATTTCGGAACTTTGATAGCGTGATTTAGCGTGCGTCCGCAGTATCAGTTTCAGGGCGTTTTCAGTTTTTAGCTGCAACGATTACATAACCGATATTGAGTTTTCATATCGTTATTGAAAACCGTTTTCAGATGTCGATATCAGTGGTAATGGCTTGCTACTGAATGCGCAAACGACAACCGAAATGTAACCGCAAACTGAAAAACCATTTATTTTACGAATTACTTAGTTTATGAAAGGTAGTTTATTTATTAATGATTACTTAAGTTGGCCATTATTCTTCATGTTTAAATGGGCTTAGGACTAGCAGAAAAGTTTCTTTAGTTAGAACTTAAGTTCTCAGTATTAGATTTATAGGACGTTTGTTGTCAATATTTACAAACAACAAGGTACACGGATACGGAATTGTCTTTTTTTAATCAAAGTAAGACTATATTTCATCGCATTACGCAACATTTGAAAAGTCTTTACAAAAATGATTAAGAGAGTCTAAATCAACTTAAAATATACTATAAGTACTATATTTTCACTGTTACATATAATTGTCTGAATTAAACAAAAATATTGCTAATAAATTCACGAACTCAATGTCAAAATTTTATAAGTTATTAAGGATAACTCAAAAATTACTGGTCAGATCTTGATCATCAATTCATACGAGTCCACATGAGTAGCACCAGCTTTCAAATAAAAAAAAATCATCAAAATCGGGTCACCAAGAAAATAGTTTTGAGTTCATAAAAAAAACATACAGTCGAATTGAGTACCTACCCCTTTTTTGAAGTCACTTGAAAAAATAAATGCGGTTCCCAACCCTCAATCTATATATAATACGTCTACATCAACCATAAGTCCCCTTCCATTGTCGTCGACATACCACGCATTCGAACCAAACAGTTTGCTGTGTTGCTTGTAGCAAAGGAGTGCAATGGTTTACCAGCGCGCCTCCAATTCCTACCGATTCCAATGTGGATGCCTTCAAGGCAAGAGTGAACAGGCTTTTGTTGAGCTACGCCGAAGCACTTTACCATCTTCGGATGGACCACCACTTATGTGTCATGTAGCCTAAGACTTTATTTAATTGGTACTGCTATTATATTATTTAAGGGGAGCACGGCCTTCCCTAGGAAAATAATTTAATTTGGCATCTCGAACTACCACGAGATTTTTTTTAACTTTGTCTAGCAGTGCTCAAACAGTATAGACTGTGTCCCCTTGGGTCTACCCAGAGACAAATGTCGACTATCTCCATAGCTGTTTCTAGGAAATTAATTATTTTTTGGGATACTTTTACATAACACCTGACGATTATGTCGACAAAATATTAACCTCGATTGACGAACCTTGATCTTGAGAAACTCGAGACCTTGCTGATATTTTTATCTGATTCAAATAATCTATCCGTTCAGGTCTTAGGCCAGACCCAGGACCACAGGCACCGCGTCCTGGTGGCCGCCGCGAAGAACATCAAGAACTGGTTCGTGAAGGTGCGCAAGATCAAGGCCATATACCACACTCTGAACCTGTTCAACCTGGACGTGACGCAGAAGTGCCTAATCGCTGAGTGCTGGGTACCTGCCTTGGACATGGAGACTATACAGCTGGCGCTTAGGAGGGGCACGGTAAGAATTTTATAGTCATTTGTTCTTCTTTCACCTTCTTCACTTAATGTTATTGATTCGCCAACTTATTTTATTTACTTATTGTTGCATTGACTATAAGGCCTTATGTCAAAATAATATATGAAAAAGTTGTAATAAATACTTTATCCAATACCTACATAAATATGTTAAAATATTTGTGAAAATGTTGATATATTTTCATTTTGTTGAAACAGCTAAATAGTTTTTCTTATAGAATACTATAATACACAATAGAATGACTATCAATCTTATTTTGTACAAGGATAGGCGTCGCCGGGAGCACACATACAAGCAATTACGTCGTATTATCAGTAAATCACTACTACAAACCCGATTCGCTGTGTTGACAGACAGATTTTAATACACATTTATTTGTAAATAGTATGCTATTTGGCATTTTCTAAATAATTTGCATGCGAAATTTGGAAACGATTGTAACGTCAAAACACATCTCGTGTTGACATTTATACGTATGAATTGACGTGTTAGTGACATTTTAGTGGCTACACAGGCTCCGTCCACTCCCCCGTTCTATTATGTATGTAATTATAGTATTCTATGGTTTTTCTAATACAATAGCACAAAGAACGAAATATTTGTATCTATTTAATCAAAAGAATTTGAATTTGGTGATGACGCATGCAAAATTTTTGTGGAAGATTTTGATGGCAGCTTAAGCCAGCCGACAGTCAATGACGATATAAACAATAGATGCGTTGTGCACAAAATAACTTGAGTCTTAAGCACTATTAGATCATAGCATTATTGTTTCCGCAACTAGTTCTTTTGTGCATGTATTTAATATACGAAATCGTATCACTTTTCCATATAAAACTAGAGAGGATTTTGAACACGCAAAAGTGGTAAAATATTATTAAAACAATAGTACAAGAGCAGCCATCTGCCGACAGTCGAGTTCTCACCAAAACTCATTCAATATGTTGGTTCGTTTTGCTTGGCACTGTTTTTTTTTGTCAAATTAAAAAAGTTACCACCACACTAGGACGTTCTTCTGTATCGTGGGGACGTTTGTCCTTGTACAATTTTATGTACGTCAACTATACATAAAATTGCGCCAGGACAAATATCCAGACCTGGAACAATTATTTGTAGGCCATACAAATACTTGTTCCGTGCGGGATTCGAACCCGCGGCCATCAGCGGCGCAACTCATTGCTAAGCTACTGCGCCGTCATACTATCCTTCACATTGTTAGAATCATGGTTTTATTTCTGTAATGACAGATAGTGTCAACATCTACCTCCCATTTGTTTTTCCTTCATTAACATTGTTTCCAGTTTTCAAACAAAAGTTTTCAAAATTACAGGAGCGCAGTGGCAGCTCTGTGCCACCGATTCTGAACCGTATGGAGACTGCAGAGGACCCGCCCACGTATAACCGCACCAACAAGTTCACCTTCGCCTTCCAGAACCTCATCTACGCGTACGGAGTCGCTACTTACAGGGAGGTCAATCCAGGTTGGTGTCCATGTCTTCCATTCAGTTCATATACAACATGTGACAAAACTCTCATCTTCCCGTGATATGCGTTATCAGAATCAGTATTCAAATGTTTCAGGAAACTGGATCATAGAAAATTAAATCAAATTTAAATAAATTTTTGTTTGAACATATTATGTGTTTTTACTACCTCTGACTGACACGCGCATTGGTAAATCTTTGACTTGACACTTACTCCCCAGCCGATGTAGAGGTAATAAAACTTTTGAAAAAGGTTTTTGTTACATGTTGTATAAAATGGGAAAAATGTCAAAATCTGTAACAGATAAGGATGATCACTACAAGAACTCTATAATTGAAGAACTTTGCGGTTAACAGTTTTAGAGTAACATATGGTAGAGTAGAGTTGAGCAGTCAAGCTGACCGGGGAAGGACCACATTCTCTCTGAATTTACCTGTATTTTAACTTATCACGTTTCTTTTCATATTGTTACATTGTCATCCAGCTCTGAGTTATGTTCAAGATTTCAAGTCTAGCTCACCGGGAAGTTAGTTTTAAATCAATTACTAAATTCGACCCGAACAAACATACAAGCAGTTAAAACAAAAATGGAAATTTTACTCATCATAACCGCCAAACGAGGCTAGCAACTCAGTACACTATAATACATTGTGCTGAAAATCGGTAAAAAAAAATAATAATTAAAGATAGTATGTAAAATTCGCCAACACACATTAGCAACTCTCCGCAATGAGTGCGGACCTGTGCCCAGCTGTGGAACGTACAATCCATCCATTACAGCCTATAAAAGTCCACTTATGGACATAGGCCTCCCCATAGATTGCCTCAGGCGGGTTGGTAAATGCAATTTTTTATTATTTTGTTTTGTATCCAGATGATGCTTCTGTCCATCACCAGGTTTGTTCCCCACTATCGTTTCTTACGAGCCCCACGGGATGATATAGGCTAGAGATATATAGAATATATAGATATATATTCTTATACACCGCCACTACCCGGTATATCAGTTCTACAGTAAATTCTTCATGCTACCTTCACATATTTATCATGCAACCTTCATTTTTTTCTGTGGTACAGCTCCGTACACGATTATCACGTTCCCGTTCTTGTTCGCGGTGATGTTCGGCGACCTGGGCCACGGCGCTCTCATGGCCGCCTTTGGATTCTGGATGTGCTATAAGGAGAAACCGCTGCAAGCCAAGAAAATCGACAGCGAGGTACATACAGACTGACTTATGAAAAACTTTCTACCGTGGTAGTCACGCTGTTATATACGCAGCTATATTATGGTTGTAGCATAAATGGATCGGCTCGACCGAGGTAGGACCACGCACAGAATACCAGCATAAAATTGCTGCTCAATGCTGCTGTGTTTTGTATTGTAAGTGTAGAGAATCGGGACCCGTTCTATTAGAAATAAGGCATTTCATCTCAGTCCTCATGGGTGACAACGCATCTGTATTTTAATTTTTAATCAAGGTTAGATGTCTATGGGCTACAGCATTCATTTACCATCAGGTGTAGACTGTGTGCTTGTTAGTTACCCTTATTCTATAAGAAAAGAAAATAAATATATGCACAGACACTGGGAAAACATAGGTGATGATTTTAAAGATGATTCCCAGTTGGTTTATTTTGATGAAAGAAACTTCTGAATTTGTCACCTTGATCAAAATCTTTGATAGCTGCATGGTGCAGTGACTTAGCAATGAGTTGAGTTGAGGGCCACGAATTCGAATTCTGCACAGTAACAAGTATTAGTATGGCATACAAATAATTGTTCCGGCCTGGATGTTTGTCCTTGCGAAATTTATGTATGTCAACTGCCTACAAAGATCCTCGTCTTCTTTGTCATAAACATTCAAATGCGCGCGCCCAACTTCCTAAAATTTCATAGCACATAATATAGCGTATTACTTATTACACATTTAAAGTTTTAAGTGTTAAGGTTAATAAACAATCATTATTACTGAAACCCAACAAATAAAACTAATGAACTCTTAAATCTATATTTTTTTTGTTTTTTACAATTGTTTACAGATTTGGAACATATTCTTCGGTGGACGCTACATCATCCTGCTGATGGGCCTGTTCTCCATGTACACGGGGATCATATACAACGATATATTCTCGAAGAGTCTCAACATCTTCGGCTCGTCGTGGCGCAACAACTACGACAACTCCACGTTAGCGGAGAACAAACTGCTGCAGCTCAACCCGGACTCCAACGACTACCTGCAGAGTCCCTACCCCTTCGGGATAGATCCCGTTTGGCAGGCGAGTACATTTTTATAGCAATAAAGTTGTACACAAGCAGGGAATAAAAACTGATTACAAATATATAAATAAAAAATAATATAATATCTGCAACATGGCTCTGCCACATAAAAAAATTTACATGCTGCAGTTATATTATGGTTGTAGCACGAATGGGTTGGCTTGACGGGGAACGACCATGCTCTCACAGAATGCCAGCCTAAAATAGCAGCTTAAGACTGCTGTGTTTCGTATGGTGAGCTTAGAGATCAGGAGACCCTTTTTTATTGGAAAGAGGCATTCCATTTTAGTCCTCAGGGATGACATCGCTTCTGCATTTTGATTCTTAATCGAGGATAGATGTAGATGTCTATGGGCCACAGCATCTACTTACCATCAGGTGGACTTTGTGCTTGTTTGTCACCCTTGTTCACTTATATGCTACAATCATAAAAAATATATGATTGTAGCATTAACGGGTCCATTCAACTTTGGATTCACAACACTCACAGATACTAACGTGAAATAGCAGCTTCATATTCTATACTGGTTTTCGTATAGTGTGGAGAATCGAAAACCCTTTTTACTAGAAATGAGGCAACTCATCTTAGTATTTAGTATTATTTTTCTTAGAGGTGGATTCATATAGCTTGTTATATTAAAATGGTACCAAATTCCTTTATTTTGGTTTCTTCATTCTTTATTTTCCAATAAAGTTTTCATGTTTGGAATGATTCCTTACTGATTCCAGTTACGGTATAGGCACAGAAAACATAATAGTAGACGCACAGAAAATGTACTCCGCAAAGTCATTTAAATAAATAGCGACTCTTACTACGACACTATAAAGTACAATTCAGGTCACACAGCACTAATTAACTATCATTATATTCACGTAGAAGTTGCCTGTCTTTCTATCGCGTAACACTTACCTTTTCTGACTACGTTACGTAAGGGTTGTCTTCTTTTAAAGAATATTTAATCTATTACCTGATAACAATATTTTACTTTGTAATAATTTTGAATTGTGACTGCACTATCATTATTTTTAGTTCATTTGTGAGATTGTAATTTTATTGGACATTTTTATATCTAAAGGTAATTTTATTGTAAATCTCTGCTCCCTCCCTGTTGATAACCATAGTCGTAGGAAACCTGTAGAAATAGAGAATAAAATAATATAAAACAGAAATAATAATATAAATTCTTTTATTCCCACAGCTCGCTGAATCAAACAAGATCATTTTCATGAATGCATACAAGATGAAGATCTCAATCATTATTGGTGTGTTCCACATGTTGTTTGGTGTGTGCATGTCGCTCTGGAACCACCTGTAAGTAGCTCCTACCAGTTTACATTAATAACAATCATTCACTCGTTACAGCCCTTCACAAGTCCACTGCTGAACATAGACCTCACTCAAGGAACGTCATAACGCATGGGCCTGAGCCACCTTGCATCCATCCACTTCCTGCATGTCTTACCAGGTCGTCACTCCATCCAATGGGGGGACGTACTACACTACGTCTACCGATACGAGGCTGCTACTCGAGTACCTATTTCACGCTGGATCTACTGCGTATATCCTCTTTTCTAAGTTTATCACGCAGAAAAACCCCGATCATAGCCCTTTCCATAGCTCGCTGAGCGAGCTTGAGCGTCTTCTTACGGCCAGCAGTGTCATCATCATATCTCAGGCCCGTAAGTCATCACTGGCAACATGCACTGGTTATACAATCTAGTTTTCAGGTTTTGAGGTATACCTGACAAGAAGATGTGTCATAATCTCCCGAACGCTGCCCAGCCGAATTGAATCCGTCGATTGACCTCTCGGTCAAAGTTGAACTTACCTACTTGTCCAGGTAAACATACTCGTCAACAACTTCGAGCTTAACGCTCCCAACAACCACCGGCATATTTGTGACATGGACGTTAAACATGATCTTTGTTTTCTCCATGTTCATCTTAAGACCTATCCGTTGGGAGACACATTAACAAGATGTTCCCAAATTCATATTTAGCTGTCATGTAGTATATTTAGTTGGTGGTGGGACTCCTTTTCTGTGTGGTAGTCCATCTGGGTGGGTTCCACCCACTTTAGCTATTCTCGCCGCTAAATAACATTGCTATAGCATAGCCAATATAATTATAGGCAATATAACTCGTAGGTAAGAACTAGAGCTGGCGATCTGAAATCGATTTCTTTTGCAAAAAAGATCGATTTTCTTAAAGCGATAGATACTACTGAATTAATCCATTGAATTGATCTTTTACCCTAGAAAATCGAGATCGAAACTTTTTGTGTTTTTCTAAAAACTATAAAATGAATTACAATTAGTTGATTGTACCCAAACTCGTAAAGAATGACAGTTTTTCTATTCAAAAACTCGCAAAACTGCTGTAAATAGAAAAAAGGTCGATTTTTAAGAAATCGATCTTTTAGACCTCGTTTTTTTGCGAATCGTTTTATCAGATTTCGATTTAAAATCGATCTTTTCGGAAAGAATCGCCATCAGTGACAACACAACTGTAGCCGTACGAGTACATGTAACACATCATGCTGCAGTTATATTAAGGTTGTAGCACGAATGGGTCGGCCCTATCGGGGAAGTATCACGTGTTTCATATGGCGAGTGTAGAGCATCAGAGACCCTTTTTACTGGAAACGAGGCATTCCATCTTAGTCCTAATGATTTCACAATATCGAAGTTTCTACTTAAACAAGAGATAAAACTGTTGACTATGTTAACTAACAATTTCATTGGAAGCGGTGGGGATTGAACCCTGATTGAACTGTGAAATTTACACCTTGTATAGTTTATTTTTAGAAGAATATTTCTTTAAAACATCAGCCTTTTAAAGTATTAACGCGTCATCTATTAAATGAAAGAAACTACCAAAGTTCTAAAACATTCCATTTTATTTTATACTTTTGTTTCAAACCAAGATTTTTCACTTTATATTGCTGTACTACGCCGCAATCTGGTTGCATTTGTTATTATATTTTGTAAACCTGAACACATTTGTAATTAGATGTAATCAGAATTCCAAAATTGTCATAATATATAAAATATATATAAATATTCCAAAATCCATTCGAAATTCGTTAAATCGTTTGCTAAAGAATCAACAAAAAGTAACAATTATATGTAACGAATTACTACCATTCTTCCTGACAAGTATTTGACCAATCACATTTTGTATATATATATGTAATTTGAAAAAACACGATACTCAAAGCGGCGGCAGCTCTGTGTCTATACATAAAGTGCAACGTTTTAAATACGTGCATTATTTGCAGTTACTTCAAGCGCCGCATCAGCATCTACGTGGAGTTCATCCCGCAGATAGTGTTCCTCACGCTGCTGTTCTTCTACATGGTGCTGCTGATGTTCATCAAATGGACCACGTACGGCCCCACGCCCGGGAAGTTCGGCAGCGACGATCCAGGTCACTATATACTAACTATAAATACCGTTACTGTTACAGCTTACTAAAGTCCTCTGTTAACATGTGCCTCCCCCATAGATTGCCTCATGGGGGGATATTTGCCACAGTTGCCACGCTTGGAAAGGGGGTCAGCAATCGCAGTGTTTTATTTTTAGTCGTTAATAGGAGGATGTTTCTGCCCATCTCCTGATTTGTGTCCCTCTGTCGCCTCTTACGACACCAGCGTCATGATATGGAGTAGTGGATGTTCTTACAGCGCCACTGCATGGTAACTATAAATAAATACTAATAATGTTCTCTAGACCGAATTTCGATCACGGCAGCCAGTCTCAACGGAGACTAGTCATCTGCGCAGCACTGGATTATATTGCACGAGTGTATGCTATAATGCAGATGCATTCTCTTTTCGCTCACTCTCATAGCCCGATGGAAGGGTAATTCGCCACGACCGGAAAGAGATTAGGCGCAGGACTAACGGCATTGCCTGCTTTTCGAGACAAGGGGGTGAAACACTGAGTACTTCCTGACCCTGGGCTGCTACTGAGAATTTCTTGACAGAAAAAAACTCAATAACAAATTTTTCGCCTGAACCCAGGATTCGAACTCAAGACCTCATGATCAGTAATCACGTTTATGACTACCATTCTAATTTTTAATAAATAAATCGGCTTGCCATGAGCCACGCTCACGCAAACTATCAGCGTGAAATAGCAACATAATACTGCTGCGTTTCGTGTGGTGGATGATGAGAACTGGAGACCATTTTTACTGGGCAATCTCTCTCAGTCAATCAAAAGGCCAAAAAGATGTCTGTGAAGTTGTGCAGTAAAATCAATATATGTAAATATACACAACATGTACATATTATGTCGATAAATACATATGTATGTATGTACCTGGTAAGACATGCAGGAGGTTGATGGATACAGGTGGCTCAGGACCGTGCTTTGTGGCATTACTTGGGGGAGGTCTATGTTCACCAGTGGACTTGTGAAGGGCTGTAATGATGATGATCCGAGTACGAAAAGAAGATACATAGTCGTATTTACGACGACTATAAATAAATATATCTGATACATTTGATTCAAAGACGATCTAATCAATAATCGACGGAATAAATGACTGAACAAGTAGGATCTTAGTATATCGGGAGAATTTTTTAAGCGATATAAAGATCTCAAAGTTCCAGTAGTTTTGAGCGTGATTCCCTGAATAACTAATTTTGCTGATGTAATATTTTGTGCCGACAGAGATCGTCAAGACGTCTGCGTACTGCGCGCCGTCGATCCTGATCACGTTCATCAACATGATGCTGTTCAAGACCGACGCGAACACTCGGCCGCAATGTGATCAAGTCATGTTCGCCGGACAGTTGGGATTCCAGAAGGTATCTTATTGCTTTTATAGAATAAGGGTGACAAACGAGCACACTGTCAACCTGATGGTAATAGGATGGTGCGGCCCATACACATTTACGTTTATCCTCCATTAAGAATTAATATGCAGTCTCCTGGAGGACTAAGATAGAACACCTCGTTTCCAGAAAATGGGTCTCTGTATCTCTAAGTATTAGTGTAACATTTTTTGGTGAACGAAATATATTAATAATATATATCTTGCAACAACAAGATATATTGCATACCATATGTACAAAAAAGGAAAATGTTGAATGGATTTCCTCATTTTTTTAAGTCGGTTAATTAAAATATAAAACAATTAATTATGTAAAGTTAGTTTTATTAAATATCAACAATTTATTTTAATACAGTATTTAATAAAAACATTTTTGTGTATATTAAATTATTTGATATATATATATATATTAAGATGAAAAGTATTTTTTTCTATTTACCGATATTTTTATGGAATAAGGATGAGAATCACACAGTCCACCTGATAGTAAGTAGATACTGTAGCCCATAGACGTTTACATCTATTTAACGAATCAAAATGGAGATGCGTTATGAATTTATGCGAATGTATGTGCCAAATAAACCTGTATGCCTTTGTTTGTTTCTGATGCGCTTGTTTTGGTGCAGCTGTTCGTGATCGTGGCGCTGCTGTGCGTGCCCATCATGTTGTTCGGCAAGCCGTACTACATCATGCGCGAGAGGAAACAACGCGCTGTAAGTCACACGTTTACTTAGCTCAGCTGACCAACTAAAAATTAAGAATATGGTTATTTTTTATCATTCTAAGCCGCCATGGTTGTCGGATATCCCGCCATATTAAAACAATTTTAATTGTGTTTACACTGAATGAAACATGCCATAATTTATTTTTATTTTTTCAAATACAAAAAAATAATTGCTGGTATCTACCATTCTTTACAAATTAATGGAAACAGTGAGGGTATAATGACTTTTGGAGCACGAACTGACAAAATAATCGCCAACACTTTTCCAATATGTCACAAATGTATGATCATACCAATGTTTTGAAACGAATCACCAGTATGGCGTCGATTTATGACATCATTTGCGTTTGCCAGTACACTGGTGGGTCTATTTTGGAAAATACCCAAGAATAAGTAGCGCACCTGTCATAATACAAACGTCGTAACACAACGTAACCGGGGTCAGATTTCGTAGTATAATTATCCTATTTGTACCATTATTTCATAGTGTATAGTATACTACATACTATCGTAATAATACTAAACGAAAATACCATCATTTTACCTTAAGATCGACCGACTCGCTCGACTTGTAATATTATTGGGTCCTTTTACTTTTTAGTATTAACCCTGCGATATCGAGAATTTCAGTATTGTACATGAGTACACCACGTTTTAAAAAATAAAATAAAATTAGCATCAGTTCCCTTTCTCATCAATCGATACTCGATCGATGCATTTATGTTACATCCTTGATACAACTTTAATGTGATAAAACCCTATGCTCCAGAAGCAATCGGTTTGAAAACAGAATTTCAGAATATTTTATGAATCAGATTTTCAGTTTCAATTAAGTAGGTATTGTTTATTTTGTACTGTTTTCGTTTTACCCTTATTGAATATAAAATATATTAGGTAACAATATTCAAAATTTAACTTACACTAAGTTCTTTACACAAAAATAAAAAAGAAATAAAAATAAAACTGTCAAAAAATGAAACGTATGTATAAACTATACGCGTGACGCCAAAATCTCGGCACATGGAAAAAAGAAACATTAAACGTGGTAAATTTTTTGACAAATAGTTTATTTTTATTTTCCATGTACAATATTATTGAGGGTCTGAATCCAACCCTGGTCTAATCTTAGTAACGTAACTAAACTTAATAATTTAATTGTAACAAAATTAATATAAGGTTATTTACCGATAATACGATATCTCATGTTCCTTTTTAATTTTTGTATCGTAATTTTTGCATCCTTTTATCACGCAAATAGGCATATTTATGACAGGTAAATTTGTCTGTCTGTCAAACGAGTCGCGTTTGTTAAGGATTATGGGGATAATTAAAGATATAATTCTTTGAACATAAAACGTGCTTTTTATTAACTTCAAAACAACAACATGGAGAGCCTATAACGTCATATTGAATCTTCCTTCATAACCACAGACACAGTGTTGACAACCGACGCAGTGTTGCCATTAAAATACAATATTATTATAAATATACATTGTTAATTAACAGCGTTGGCCCTAAACTGTCATTTTAGGGCCAGCGCACTGGTCCGATTTAGCTGCGCGGTCGGCCCGGTCCTTATGCTAGTAACATACAATGGTCAAGGAAAGAAAAGTTAATTGAAAACAAAATCTCAAACATTCTGCCCTTTTTATCTTTTAAATTCACAATGCGTGGTAATGCATTATTTTAACCGATTGTCATACATAAATATCTAACGACTACTATTTAACTACGCACGCACACATTCGTAATGGTCGCTCGGTCGGAAAAAAACGTTGTGGAGTAAATCGCACACAGAGTAAGCGTAGTTGTTGCCCATGAATCACTTCATAATAAAATTAAGTTTAAAATTTGGCTACTCTTTGGAAAATAACCCTGAATATTTGAACTTGAATATATAATTTGGATACTCTAGAATATAATATATAGAGTATGTCTAAAAGTTAGTGGTTTGTGGGAAGATAAAAGTTGATCGATTGGTCCGTCATCAATGAGAAGTTAAGAACCATTGGTTTATAATTTATATGTCCCTTTAGTTATCTTATTTTATGTGACGTTAATACACTAAGTTCATTGGTGATTTTTATAGCGTTGGGTGAAACGAGCACACAGTCCACCTGATGGTAAGGGGATGCTGTGGCCCATAGACAGATTTATAGATTACAAATTTATTCTCAATTAAGATTCAAAATGATAATGCTTTGTCACCACTGAGGACTAAGATGGAATGCCTCGATTCCAGTAAAAAGGGTCTCCGGTTCTCTACACTCACCAAACTAAACACAGCAGTATTTTGTTGCTACAACCATAATACAGTTGTAATGTGGCTCTATCACGAATATTTTATAATTTGTTCTATTTTGGAGCAGCAGAGCCAGCCGTTGGCCAACACTGAAGCGGCTGCAGAGAATGGAGCCGTCGCCGGAGCACCTCAACCTGCCCATCATGCAGACGAAGAGATATCTGAAGTCTTCATACACCAGGTATACCGCATTGTATCTAACTTATGATTAGCCAATCAAGTTAATGCTTATATATTTGTTATTATATATAATATGTATATTTATTTTTTTAACATATAAATAATAAATATAATTAAATCGCTGCTTACCTTTATTTAAAGGAATACATATCAACAACAATATATAATCTGTAATAATAAATCGTGTAGTGGTGGTGTAAGGATATCCACTATCCCGTATTATGCCGTGGATTGTAAGACGATAGAGGGAAATTAAAACAAGGTAGGGGTTTATTAGTTTTTTATTTTCTTAACGAGTTATTAAAACGAAACGGAAGGGAAAGGGTGCCATTACACATGGCACGTATACCGCTTACGGGTCTAGTTTAGATGACACCGAGCGGGCGTGCCAGGGAGTCGGTATCATCCTTTCAGGAAGAATGGGTCAATGTGTAAAAGAGTATGATTGTGGAAGCGTAAGGGTGCTATGGATATGAATGAAAGTGGGCTTTTAATTAAGTTGTTTGTTATGGGGGTCTACGCTTCAAACATGTCTAAGCCCACTTATATCCGAGAGCATTTTTGGGAAATGGTAAAGATGGTGTTAATGAAATGTAGGAGATTTTAATGGAAGGGTTGGGGTGAATAGGCTTGTTTATGAAAGAACATTGGGAACGTTTGGTGATGAAAGTATAAATGAGAATGGTGTTCCTTAGCTTCTTCACCATATGTGTGGAAAAGAGTGTTTTTGTGACGAACACTTTATTTTGCCAGTAAAAGATTCATGTGTACACATGGGAAAATGGTGATGATAGAATCGTGATAGATTTTATACTTGTGGATGAAAGAAGGAGCACAGTGGTAGATAGATGCAATGGTTTACTGGGGTTAACATAGGGGGGATTATTACTTGGCCTTATGCCAGATTAATGGTCTATTCAGACGGTGGTGGCATCGGACATCTGTGTCTACCACTGCGTTACAGCGTATAAGAACAGAGAGTTTACAAGATGAAAGTGTGAAAGACAAGTACAAATGTAGACTGAGAGAAAAAAATAAGTGGTCTGAATGAATTATGTATGAATGAGTTAGACTTGGAGAATGCGTTGCATATTGTTAAAAAAGGTTTGGTGGATGTAGCTACCGAAGTATGTGAGCGAAGGGAAAAATAATACGTTGTACTGGGATGAGGTACGTATCTAAGTTGAAGCAAAGAAGAGAGCATAGACAGATTTACTAGCAACCAAGGCTGGTAATTCTGACTGTACAAATGATGATATTGAAAGGAAAAGGGCAGTCTTGAGACATCTAAATAAGATAGTAAAATAAGTAGTTGAAAAGAAAAAACAAGAAAGAACAGATAAGAATAATAGAAGAATATCGGATAACTTTCAGGCAAATATTAAAATGTTTTAGGAACTTGTAAGAATTACCAGGGGACATTCATAACAACCAAGAATGAATGCTATATGAGACGAGAATGGCTGTATTCTGAATGATGAAATTTTGAGCTTAAAGAGATAGAAGGAATATTTTGAAATCGTGTTTATGAGTGAGGAGAGGTTCGAAATAGAAATTTCTAAAGGAGAGGAAAGAGATAGGAGAAGAAAAGTATAAATGAAATAATGAAAAACAGGAAAGCAGGTAAGGCAGACGGATATGATAGAGTATCACTCGAAATGCTAAGGGCTGGAGAGCTGATTTGGACTTTGGTAATTTTACGACGTCCTGGCTTATATCTGCACAGATATTGTGTATCAACGTGCCCGGTATTCAATATGCGGCACAAGAATACGCAAACATGCACTTCATTTATGGTAAATGCAGAAGCAACGTAAGTGCTGCTGCAGCCTTTTATAGGGAAAGATACCCTACCACGCGTCACCCAGATTACCGCGTATCCATCAGAGTCCACAGATGTTATTCGGAACGTAGAATACCTGGCAGCGGCGTTGGTGGTATGAGCACTGGAAGACTAGCTAATATCAACACACAAGACATTTTGCTTAACGAAATAGAGCGAGACACGTCCACCTCTATTAGAGTAATAGCGTGACGTACTGGAATCTCGTAGACTACCGTGTACCGTGTACTGAAAAAAAATTCATCCCTACCACATTAGACGCGTCCAAGCTCTACAACCGAGAGGTCACAACGCACGATTGTTTTTTATCGACAAATACTTGCAAAAATAGAACAAGATCCACAATTCTTCGACAAAATTCTATGGAGCGATGAATCCCCTCTTTAAAAAAGACGGATACTTTAATTGGCACACACCTGGCAACTCTCAAATTCACATCTAATGGGAAAAGGAGATCACAATACCAGTTCAAAATAAATATTTGGACTGGTATATTAAACGGAAAAATCATTGGTCCATTTGAACTGCCCGGAAACTTATCTGGACAAAGTCATTTGAATTTTCTACAAAATGATCTGCCAAATTTAATGGAAGAGGAGGAGAGACAATCCTACTGGCTAGAAAATGATGGTTGTCCTGCATGCACATTTATTTATACTGCAAACGTCCGTGTGTATTTAAATGCCATGTATCCAAATAAATGGATTGGTCGTTTAGGTCTGATTTTGTGGCCTCCATCTCAATCTATCTAGCAGTGGTATGCCTTCTGTGTGCTTTGTTAAACACGTCCTCGACAGCACTGAATATGAAACTGAAGCGTGGAGACAGATCAAGATTGGTGTATTTTTATAAAACTGCTAAAAACAACAATCTATATTTTTATCAATTTATATCTTGGGCTTGCCCTAGCTTGGAGCTCTAGCTTCGCCACTGATCCACAGGTGTATTTAAAGCCTATTTTTTATTTATTTATTGGCTGCTTCAAAAACAACTGAACGGCGCTACGCTCGACTTCTTAGAAGAGCATTTATCAGAAGATGTCTAGCCTGTATCGGAGTCGATGGCAGACAATTCGAACACCTGTTATGAAAAAAATGATTGATCTATGTATAACTTGACGCTTTTATTATGACAATTTAAGACAAAATAATTTTTTCTTTTTTCAGTCGAATTTACTCTTTTTTCATCTTAACGTTAAATAAAATATGTCGGCCACTTAGGTCTTCATACTATTTTTCACGAATGGCTCTCAAACTTTTGTCATAATTATTTTTTTATGAAATTTCATGCTGAAAATTGAAGTTTTTTTTTGCAAATTATTACAATAGACAATAGACTGTAAGGAATAAGATAAAACCAAAATCGCAACTAATTTCATTAGTTTGCAGCAGTGGTGTACATGAAATTACAATAACGTCAATAAAAACATATTTTTTAAACCTTCATATTTTTGGCACCACTTATATTTTTTATATTGATATTTTTTTATTTAAGTGCCTAATACCTGTATTATTAGGCGCTCCAGGATTATCTATTCTTTCTGGGACAGCCGAAATAAGTCATAATTTATTTTTATTGTCATTTTGTTCTCAGATTTCTATCGATTAATACCTGTTACTCTGTTTTAATCAATAAAAATTATATTTCTTATTGATTAAACTACCTTGATTCGCGTGTACGAGTAGATATTATCCGTAAATCACATTCAATTTGGGATAATTTGAAATAAAAGTAGTAAGTCTTATTTATCCGTGTTTTCAAAAAATGTAATATCGGAATATAATTATTTATATATTTGAATTTAAATATAAAACACTCACGCCTGACTACTTACTTGCTTACTTGAGACACCTCCCTCGCCTCTTTTATATACCTATGCGTACACGCTCGCCGGGTAAGTGTACTCCTAATCTGGCCTATTTTCATATTTCGCCAATTTGGTCGATACACTTTCGTGTAGGGCGTCCCTTCCCGACTCTGTCATCTTACCCGTTGTACCCTTACTGAACAGTAAACAGTTTATTGTACGGAGTGTGGTTGTCGCAGGCGATCCACACGATTGAGTACGTGCTGGGCAGCGTGTCGCACACGGCGTCGTACCTGCGCCTGTGGGCGCTGTCGCTGGCGCACGCGCAGCTGGCCGAGGTCGCCTGGAACATGCTGCTGCGGAAAGGTATAAACATCTATTGCGGTCCGTTACTCTCGCTAAAATTCAGTAGCGGCTCAAACGATATTGATGTCTTTTTGTGTGTGTTTGAACGGGTCCATATCTATTGATGGCTTAGATTCACATTTGGATTCGGTAGGTGGCGCTCATAGAATACTATAATACATACATAACAGAACGGGGGAGTGGGCGGAGTCCGCGTAGCCACTAAAATGTCACTAACACGTCAATTCACACGTATAACTGTCAACACGAGATTTGTTTTGACGTTACAATCGTTTCCAAATTTCGCATGCAAATTATTTAAAAAATGCCAATTTGCGCCCTAATTATTAAATGAATATGTATTAAAATTTAAATGATTTTTTTATGATTATCTTGAACATTAATCAAAAGTCTAAAATGTGTAAATTTATTCAGTCTGTCAATACAGCGAATCGGGTTACCTTGTACAAAATAAAGTTGACAGCCATTCTATTGTGTATTATAGTATTCTATGGTAGCGCTGTTGTCGGTTTCTAGAAATCAAACACGCACGCACACGTGTGTGTACACACATCTATTCTAGAATGATGCTTTGAAAAGGGAAATATAGGTTAAAAATATTAAAAATTTACTTTAATATCTCGTACTACAAATTACAATGCCCCACATACAGGCCAGTTTCACTTGAATCATCTTTAGATTACAACCCACCAATGCTACTATAATGTTATCTATAAAGTTCTATTGAAAATCTGGCATCCCTATACTTTCGGTAACACCTCTACCAAACTTTGAATGTAGGCCAGTAGTCATTATTTTAAATTATTCTAAGCCAATTGTTGACTGCTATCCCACCTGATGGTAAGTGGCGATGCAGCCGAAGGTGGTGAAGCGCACTGACTTAGCTTAACAAAAGCCTGTGCATACATATGTCTCTAAAACAGTCGCATTGTAAAGAGGATGGAAAAAGATGCCAGAAAATAATTCCACTCCTTTTCTGTACGCATTACATACAATGAAGCAAACCGTTTGGTTAAATGCGTGATATGCGTCTGGTTGTCTTATGGTAGAGGGGAGAGGGAGGAAATACGTTATGCAATTCCTCTGCATACTCTCTGATCTTAGCTATTCTTAGAGGGTGTCCCGTAGGATATTAGATATAAGATCTTATGGTTATAAGATCTTATTGTGGATATAGACGTTTTAAGAAACTGAAAAGAACAGGAAGAGCAAGTGGATTATATAACTGAAGTGGACTGTATGAGAGACTGAAATGAGTAGACTGAAACCCGCTAGTTGACGAACTGTAAGCTGGAACTGTTCTATTAAAAGATTAATACACTAAAGAAACAATTTATTTACTATTTACAACACAATAATCACGGTAGATAATACAATACTATTTACCCCATGTGTACTTGAAATGAGCTGATTGGTCGTTAACTAAACGTCTTAACTAAATTCTTAAAATATTATATTCTAATACTACGTGACACTTGAGATTGAATATCGTACGGAGTTAATTACTTAATAAATTTATTGCAGGTCTGATGTCGAAGGGTTTCCAAGGCGGCATTTTCCTGTACGTAGTGTTCGCGGGCTGGGCTGCCATCTCCGTCTCCATCCTCGTACTGATGGAGGGTCTTTCGGCCTTCCTTCACACACTTCGTTTGCACTGGTATGTGTTCGATTATTTGGTACCTCTAACAATATCTATGTAGATTCTTCAGTTCTTGGAATCCTACAACTAACTTCAAACGTAGAAGGCTACAAATGCTGCAATCATACTGTTCTTTTTACCCTTCGGACTGAAACATAGTAGTGCAGATAATGCTATTTAGTAGTAGAAATGGGTATGACGGTAGTAACTGGCCAGACAGATGCCTAGGCATAAAGGGTAATCCCCCCCCCCCCACCTAGAAAATGGTAACGATTTTTAAAAAAAAAAAGAAAAAAATGTATATATATAGTGAAAATAGTCACATGCTGCTTATTGTTCTAGTATGTAATAATGACATATATTTATTATTTGAGGTATAAAAAAATTATTTATGTGATGATGAGGGACTTTATTAGGCTGTAATAGTAACGATATGATAGCAATGTTTACTTCATTTGCTTACACTGACTTGGATTTATTTTACTATGTAAGCTATAAACAATTTTAATTTGTAAGAGCCTGGTGTTAACTAGGTAAGATCTGTATGACTAATCACAAGAGAGGATATTATATAATTCAACTCTTTTTAAGGAAATTTGCAAACTCATCGCTATTATGATTTTATAAAATATTTTCCTTTCCAGGGTGGAGTTCCAGAGCAAGTTCTATGCTGGTGAAGGTTATCTATTCCAACCGTTTTCCTTTGAGGTGATCCTCGACTCCGCCGGCCAGGCAGAGGAGTAAATCCAACCACATGCCCTCAACTCATCTACAGCTCATTGTAGAAGGATTTTTGATGAAAAAGTATCCTATATTCTGAAATTATTATATTGTACCTTGAAAATTTTTCTCGCAATATAAAATTGTGTCATGTTATTGTAGACTAATGTAATAAAAATTATTGCTATAGTTTTGTGATTTAATAATAATACAACTATATTATTTTGAGTTACTATAGGCTATGAATTCCTAAGGTATATGTTGCCATCACAAATAATACTTTAGTGTATCTCTCGAATTCTAACTTATGATGGAATTTGTATATCTTTAACAAGTAGTCTTTTCGTGTCTGCAAAAGATATTTAAAATGGTTATATATTGCTACTCATTTATAGTCTTTAATTATTGTAGTCATTCGTACTACTCAGTAATAGCATCGTGATTTTTAATTGTCTAAACATAAATGGAGGGTATATCGCCTGATAAATCGTAAATATTAAATAAATAGACACGTTTGTTAGTCGATTAGTAAGGCATGCTATGATCATGTATAAAATAAATCATAGCTGAAGCTACTATTTAAAACTTCTTCTCTGTGTGTTGTAGTAATTTCGGGGGTGTATTTGTATTTTTAATTTTTTTTACAAATGGCAACATAATTTCTGCCAAAATTGTAAATGCAATTTCAGATTTTATTTATATTGAAATAAAATCCTAATTTGTATGATACATGTCGACGTCTTAATATTGTTTTTTAAATGTAGTAATTTTAATTTTTCGAAGTAATGTGAGGTGGTTCTTTTATATTGTTCTTATAAACTGTTTTGTAAGTAAAAATGTACTTAAAACTTTGTAAATTCACATCCAAGGCTCTCTTTAATTTTAAAAATTCAGATATCGTTACAGATAATAGCTAAAATGTAGATACATTATTGTCATTCCAGTTGTTCAAAGTATATAAATGCTTACTGTACTATACTTTATTATATATCCGCATGTATGTAGAATTGTAAAGCTTCAGGTTATGAATAAATGACTTTCTGTCTATTGCATATCGTTGTTTTATTTAATGGAATAAAACTAATTTTACGTATTTTATCGCGTTTAGTTTAAACTTCTTTATTTTACGACGTTTCGGGCATTTTACAAGCACCTATTGTCACTAGGAACATTCCTTCCTGATAAGCTAGCTTCCTGGTAACAACTAACAAAATTGCGAAAACGGAAGAGTATTTTGTGTTTATTAATATATAACAATACGTGGTAGAGCCATGTTGCAGCCATATTATTGTTGTCGCAGTAATGGGTCACTTTCACCGGGGAGGTACAACGTCTCACACAGTTCCAGCGTGAAATAGTAGCTTAGTGCTGCTGGATTTTGTATGGTGAGTGTGTAGAGTCGGAGATCCTTTCTACTGGACATGAGGCATTCCATTTAAGTCCACAGGGGTAACTAGGCATCTGCATTTTGATTCTTAATCGAGGATAGATGTAAATGTCTGGGCCACAGCATCCACTTACCAGGTGGACTGTGCTCGTTTATCACCCATATTCTATAAAAGTGGTGTAAGAAGAGAGGTGATATAGTCAGGAAGATAATTTAAGGATTGTTGAATAATCACATAATGAGCTACGGCAGCTATGCCTAATATCCCCCCACTCCCATGAGAGTCTTTGGGGTAAGCCTATATCCAACAGTGCACTTTTAATGGGTTGCAGGCTGTAATTAACGAATGAATAAATGAAATTTATTTTATTTATTTGAATAAATTACTATCAGTTAATATGTTAAGACAAAAAACGAAGATTCGTTCAGTCGTATTCTGCTCCGATGGTGATGCTGATGTCGCCCGGCATCACGTTTGTCTTGTGGTACCAACGGTTTGTATCCACCACCACTGGAAATGAATTCAACAACACTTTAGCCCTTCAACCCCTAAGCGGTCGAATTCGCGCACACCCACAGCACTTTAAAACTTATATTTGGAGACTACTTTTCTATAAAGAAGTTTGGCATTATAGAATCAATATGAAATTTCCTATCCGCTAGTGCGATAAAAAATAGTTATGCTATGGATATTTATTTATAATCTACGTTAATTTCGTAAGCTATTTTCGCGTGAATGTTATTGTGTTGATTTTTCGATTTTTCTAGTGTTTTAGTATAGTGTTTTATTATAAAATTGTAATGAAAGTTTTTGCGTGAATATAATTTATCTTTTTACATAAATAATTTTGAGTAATATAATATATTGAAATGAAATAATTGTGATTTTCACGCTGCCGACATTCGCTTGGTATGTTTTGTTTTTGTTATCAAAATGTAATAGTTTTTTGTAATGAACTAAAACCTGACTTTTATATAGAGAATTTTGTATAGATTTTATAATGCCAAACTTCTTCATAGAAGTTTTCGGGTGGGTGCGGTAAATCCCGAGCGGTCGCATGCGACTGCATGAGAATTTTAAGGAGACTGAGGGGTTAGTCGTGTATGATTTGTATGTTTTAATTTTACATATTATTCAAATATATGTAAAATTAAAACGTATATTTGAATAATATTCCCTACCACATATCGTCGCGTGCATGAAGGTTAGAGAACAGGAGAACGATCGCTACGTGCTAAAGCCCGTCTGTCCCTGAAAATTTGTAGAATTTATAGCCGCGCTGCCGTCGGTAAGTGGTGTCTGTGAAGTAAATTTTGACAAAAAGAAACATTAAAAATAGTGAAATAATGTAAATAAAATAATAATAATATATCAATAATAATTAATATTTGTAATCATTTACAATATTTATAATAATTAAAATTATAAAAAACATTATTGAGACAACTTAGCGATCACACCGCCTCACTTATTTTTCTTTCCATATTTCTAGGACACTATTTTCTACAGCGATCGATCTCCTGTTCTCTAACCTCCATGGTCGCGTGGGTGTCGTAAGAGGCGACTGAAGGAAACACACCAGAAAATGGACAGCAGCGTTTGCCTAATAACAATTAGAAAGTAGAACCCGGTTGTCGGTCCGCCTGCCAAGCGTGCCAACTATGGTTAAGGTGAGGCAATCTATGGGAAGTCCTGTGTTCAGCGGTGGATTTTGATAGGCTGTAATTAATAGATAAATGAAATATTATATTTACTACTAGTACTTAGCCCCTGAGGTACCACGGCTTGGCGCACGGATTCGATCTCCGCCGGCAGAAATTAAATTGTTATTTTTTGCCATGCAGCCATGCTACAGTTGTATTAGTAGTAGCACGAATGGGTCGGCTCGACCGGGGAAGAACGACGCTCTCACAGAATAGCAGCGTTAAATAGTAGCTTAATGCTGCTGTATTTCGTATGGTGAGTGTAGAGAACCGGAGACCCTTTTTACTGGAAACGAGGCATTCCATCTTAGTTCTCAAAGGTGACAACGAATCTGTGTTTTGATTCTTAATCGAGGATAATTTCTATGGGCCACAACGTCCACTTACCACCAGGTGGACTGTGTGCTCGTTTGTCATCCTTATTCTTTTTTTTATAGGAGTAGGTCACCCCCGACCCCTGAGGACATAGATGGAACACCTCGTTTCCAGTAAAAAAGGATATTTTTTTAAATTTTATTCTAATTGCAATAATTGTAAGTGGTGTGAAATAAAAACAGTAAATAAATATTTCTAAGACGTTCGTCGACGCGGCAAGCCCTTGCTGCCCTTGCAAGATCACTCTTAAAGAGGTCTGAGAGTAAGACGGTATGTAGTTTTTATTATCATCATCATCGTTACAGCTAAAAGAATGTTGTGGCATTTGATGCGTTGGCAAGGCAGCCAGATTCATCTGCATTCATTATTCATCATCAATTCATACTGGATGGAATATTTCCACTGTTCCTGTCATATTAAAATCTTTTTAATTGAAAACTTGAGATTTTGTCAAACTTGTTTAGTCGTTGAGAAAATGGAATTGCCTCGAGAAAATTCAAGAGCGATGATTTATTATGACTTTCGAAGTGGTTTAACACAAAAACAGTGTGTTGACCGGATGATTTCTGCATTTGGTGATGAAGCCCCATCCAAAAACACAATTTATCGCTGGTTTGCTGAATTACAACGTGAACGTGTCAAGCTCAGTGATGATCCCCTTCAAGGTCGTCCAAAAACTGCAGTCACCCAAGAAAACGTTGATGCTGTGCGTAAGCTGATTGAGGAAGATCGACATGTGGCATACCGCGAAATTCAGGCAACTTTAGATATTAGCATGAGTCAAATACAAATAAACTTCCATGAACAATTAGGTGTAAAAAAAGTTGTTTTCCCGATGGATACCGCATTCTTGTGAAGAGCAAAACGGATACGCGTACAAACCCGAAACAAAAAACCAGTCCCGAGTTTGGGTGTTCGAAAATGAGTTAAAGCCAACAAAAATTGTTCGTTCACAGAGTGTTGCAAAAAAATGGTGGCCACGTTTGTCTCCAAAACCGGCCATGTTATGACTATTCCTCTTTAGGGACAAAGAAAGGTTAATGCAGAATGGTATGCTAGCATTTGTTTGCCACAGGTCGTTTCTGAACTCCGTAAAGAAAACTGCAACCGCCGCATCATCCTCCATCACGACAATGCGAGTTCTTACGCTGCACACAGAACAAAAGAGTTTTTAAAGCAAGAAAATATAGAATTATTAGACCATCCGCCGTACACCCCCGCCCTCAGCCCTAATGATTTCTATACTTTCCCTAAAATAAAGAATAAATTGCGTGGACAGAGATTTTCATCACCTGAAGAAGCTGTGGACGCCTACAAAACGGCCATTTTGGAGACCCCAACTTCCAAATGGAATGGTTGCTTCAATGATTGGTTCCATCGTATGGAAGAATGTGTCAAATTTCGCGGAGAATACTTCGAAAAGCAATAAATACATTTTTAAATAGTAATGTTGTGTCACTTCCTTGATTCCCGAAATTTTCAGTGCCGCCCTCGTATATTTACGGGAATACTAGACAATGATGAAATTGTTATGGATTATTTTCATTCAGTCCCTACA